ATGTGTGTGGGGGAGAGAGATATATATATATATATATATATATATATATATATATATATATATATATATTTTTTTTTTTTTTTTTTAAAGAACATAGTTTCCAACTTAATGACAAAAACAACATTACTTGTACTTTTAGTATCATTCTGTGACAAATAATCAGTTTATCGGGTTGTTAATACTGTGCAGAGTTTGGTTTCTCTTTTCCAATGTTAGCAGGGATGCTATTTATAGCCACCGCTGTCAGATGTGTGTATGTGAGACCGACCGCTAGAACGTGAGTGGAGTGTGTGTGAAGCTCACACTCACACCAGTGGCGTCTGGAGGCTCTCCTCTGGATGCGGCAGCTCTTGATCCTGCGTGCGGCGGCTTTGTGTAGGTAAACGGCGTTCTTCATGATGGCCGGCAGCTTCGCCTCGATCTCCGCTGCACAGATGCACTCCTCGAAGAACTCTGGGTGAACGAACACACACACACACACACACACAATCGTCAAACACACAAAAATCGTTGCAGTGAGAGATGACAGCAGACAATCGTGGTGTGTTCGAGTTTTACTGACAAAGATGGCCAAATGTGCCTCCTTTGTACTTGTTCTACTGTTAATATCAGCTGCATCGATTTTGTTATGAAATGTCAAACTTCACAGTAAGTGGATAAAAATGAGACGTTTTGTGCAAAAAATAACATAAGAAATTTTTCTTAATGGTTTCAGGCGTTTCAGGGTGTGTTAGTCATCAAAGGGAAAAACGTCATGAGGTCTCAGAGAAATAGGCATGAGGTCTAAAAATGTGACAATGTATAAAATAAAACCAGAAATGTGTGATGTCCATTTGACTCAAATGTTTAAATAAAATTTCCCTACAAGGGCGAATATTATTTTATCAGTCAAATCAAATCAGTTTTTTTTTTGTATGCTGCCAAATTAGATTTATTTTATTTTTATTTTATTTTTATTTTACCTCTAAGGGTTTCGTAATATACAAAGACGAGTGAAAATATCCCGTCACCTTTCAGCTGTTGAGTCTTCATGAATTTACACTGATTGGACAATAGGTGGCAGTACATACCACCTATTGTCACACAAGGACATTAAAAAGTGGAGGATTATGCTAAAAAAACACACCATCAAAGTTCACAGTCATACAGGTAAGCAGCCTTTAAAATACCTGTACAGACTGCTAAATGAAATGTAGCTAACACAGCTAACATTTAGCTGAAGCTACGTCAGTCACCAGAAGAGCAGACTGCAGCCGCAGCGTCCTAAATGCCTGTAAACATTTAATACGGCCGTCCTGGAGTGACCAGAGTTCTCCTTCAGCGACCTTCGCACAGCTGTGCTGCTAATGCAGGTCGTTAGCACAAAATGAGATTAGCTAATGCTATCTAAACAAGCGCTAATTGCTAACACTCTCACTTCTCAGCTGCGTCACGTCCCCCTTCATCTTCTCATCTCTCTCCTTGGTCCGCTCCAGCGAGTTCAGGCCCTTCTCCAGGTCCTGCAGGGCCTCCTCCGCCTGCTTCAGCCGCTGCTCCAGCTCCATGCGCGACTGGATCTCCGCCTGGCCTCACAAAGCCACCATCAGTTCGGACATGTCAACCGTAAATGCCCGTTTAAATGTTTGTTTTTCTTCTTCTTTCAATAATGAATTCAAATAATTATTTGATTAAAAAAAAGAAGAAGAAAAAAAAAACATTATACTATATTATATCGATAAATATTGTCACTTTCCTAATAATGGCCTAAGTCATTTTTTTTGTCAAGTGATTTTTTTTGTCAAAAAAACAAACAACTATATTATAATTAACTACCATGTATAAAATAGAAAAAAAATATTATTTTTAAATAAAAGTAGATAAGTAATTAATTATTAATCAAAACTATAGTTTATCAGGAATATAAAATGTATAGAATCAAAGCAGGTGGGTTTTTAGCATTGATTTAAATGAACTCAGCGTTTCATCTATTTTGTAGATAAAAATGTTTATATTTGTTTTATTGAGAACTTGATTTGACTGTTTTAGCAGAGATTTTTTTTTCTTCTTATTTAAAGGGGCAGTATTATGTAAAATCAACCTTTTTTAGCTCTACATTATGTTATAATGTTTTTCCCTCACTAAAAACAAACCTGAAGTGTTGCTTTGATTTTGTTCATTCGTGTTTAGAAATCCTTTAACCTCCCTTGGCAACCATTCAGCTGAACATCGTGCTTGGTTGGACCAAGCCCCGCCTTTGAAGACAAAGCTCCTCCTATTAGCTGCCACCCAACAACTCCAACACTCAGCTCCTTCAGACTAGCCAGCAGCAATTGGCAAACACCTGGTGGAACTGTGCGCAATGCTACTTCTCAGCAAAACGTTAAAAGGTTAATAGAGGGGCCTTGTCGTGTTGACTTCCTGAAGGCGGAGTTTCTGAAAGAGCAGGAGCTTCTTAAAGAGACAGAGGCCCAATTTTAAATTTCTTTTAAAACATATTTGATATATTTGTTGTTATAAAATTGTACTATGTGACTGGATAACACGTAATACTGCCCCTTTAAGACTGAAAGGGAGTTTATTTTATAAAGTCTTGTTTGTTGTGTTGCCATAGATACAATCTGATGCCACAAGATTAATCTTTGTGTTTGAGCTCAGTTTGTTCTATAAACAATAATCACTGATTGGTTTTAAGCTAAGCTCATTAAGCCCCGCCCCTTCTCCCAGATTCCACCAAATCTGTATTGAAACGCTGTTAGTGGGGGTGGGGGGATTCTTATAAAGGAAAGGGGCTGCAAATGTAATTCGGCTCCGGCCGTGCGTGCTCTGTCACCTTGAGCTCGGCCTCGGTCTGCTGCTTGTCCGCCGTGAGCTGAGAGAGCGACTGCTGCAGCGTCTGGGCCTGGGTGGAGTAGTACTCCTTCTCCTGCTGCAGCAGCTTGGAGCGCTGCTCGTTCTCATTCAGCCTGCACAGAGAAGGCCAGGAAGCAAGAAACACTGAACTCAGCTCATATTCAATAAATTAGATTACACGTCCCGAGCAAAAAGTACTTTTTATTTCTGCTTGAGTAGTATTATTATTATGAGTATTATTACTCTTACTTGAGTAAAGCTTCTGGGTGGTATGGAGGACCAAAACTGACATAATTAAAAAATAAAAGCAGAAATGTATATATTGTTTTTCCTTTTTTTTATACATGCATTTTTTTATGTCAAGAAATGTATATATTTTTTGCATTTGTTTTTGTGCCATTGCCTAAGGAACTCTCTTTTCTTTTCCATTTCTGTATGCATTTCTGTCTGTTTATGCAAATGAGGAGGGCGGAGTCTTAACACTTCAACTTCTGCCTATTGGTTGGTTAGCATCACACTCTACTTAGCTTCAACAAAGATGGGTGATGAAGCTTGGCAAGTGTGTTGTAACTGCTGATTTTTTTTTATTTTTTGTGTGGCCGCTCAGACAGAAGGTGTGTGTCAGTCAGCGTCTCTCGTGAACACAAAGGTCCAAAGTCAGGTTAGTCATAGTTTGGACGAGGCTTTTGAAAATGCTTTCTACCATTAAATTGTACTTTTTTTTTTCTAATTGAATGTCCATTCTGATAGAGATCAGGAGTGTTACCATGCAAAGAAAGAAAAAGTATCTGCAGTAGTTTTATAACTTATTTCTGTTTTCACAAATCGATTTATTTTATTTTTTATGGGGTTTTTTTTATTTTATTTTTTTTTAGAGTTTTTAAAATATAAACTCACACCACTTGAATGACTTTATTTCTTTTTTTACTTCTGAAGGGGTTAAAAAGCGTTTGACTCGTATGCGTGGCGTGCAAGCGGAGATCAATACGATCTTATGGACACGCGAGGAAAAGCCCTGCGCGTTTACGCAGCAAGACATGAATGCGATGGGAGTCGCAGAGCGGCCGGCCCAACTGACCCGCTCATGGAAACGCGGCGCTATGGATCGCATGTCGGAGCCGAGCATTAGTGCTTCACAGTCGATGGCAGCAACTTGTAATATCCCCACTTACTGCGCCTCGTCAATGAGCTGCTTGGCTTCGGATCGATACACATTTCCACTGTACCATTAGCTCAGACCGGCGCTGCTACGACCGGAGAACATGCCGGGGGGGGGGGGCGACTGCGAGGACACCAGGAAGCTCACTTCTCGTCGGCCTGCTCCTTCTCCTTCAGCAGGATCTTCATCTGCTCCTCGATGTGCCGCAGGTCCTGCAGCACCTCCGGGTCTCGGACCGCCTCTCCGTCCACGGGGTCCTCGCACGCAGACCCCGAACTCTGTCGGTCCGCCTCCTTCTTCTTTTCCTGACCTTTCACCCCCAGCATCAGAAGTCTCCGCTGTTTCTCCTGGGAGAGCTCCTGAAAACAAACAGCGACATCTCTATAGTTTATGCTGGGCTTCTGGTTGTTGCGTTGGTTTTCACCGATGCTATTAATCGACAAAAAAATTTAATCAGATTAATCGCACTCTGGCGCCGTGGTTAATCGCGATCGATCACTATGTCCAACTTTGTAAGCTTGATATACAAATATGCACAAAGTTGCTTCCTTCTAACAGGTTCTAAAGCACTCAGAGGTTTCAGGACATCGTGTATGGGGTTAAAAGTTCATTTGAACACGATGAAACCATTTGGAAAGGCTTGGTAGGAGGAAGTAACTGTGTGTAAACTGTTAGCTCTCAAGCGCTCAGGCGCATTAAGGATGAGGTAAAGAATTTATTGCGTCGCGCCGAAAATCTTGGAAAACAACAAAAATACCTCTATGGACTTCTGAAGCGTATCTGTTAAGCAACTCAGCTCTTCTTTTTCCTGGTCAACACTTTTCAGGGACTGAGTTGTGTCATCGAGGTCTCTGCAACGGCAAGAAGCACTTTTACGCAACACGCTCAGACAAATGCGCTCGTCCGTCTCTGGGAAATCCTGAAGCGAAATGAAGCGTTAGTTAGTTACAGTTTGATCTGCTCCTGCTCCGCCTTCAGCTCCAGAACCACCTCCTCGAACTTCCTCTTCTCCTCCTCCAGGACCTGGTTGAGACGCTCCAGCTCCTGCAGAAATGCACACTTAGAGCTGCGGCGTGTAACGTTTATATAAAATTAAAAAAAAATTCTTGACATGTTTGTTGAAACTGTCACTACGGTATGAGACAGATAACTGTGGGAGAAAATAATTGAGCTCCTCTGCCTTCTCCCAGTGCTCCCAGCGCTAGAAGCAACCAGTCAGAGCCAGGAAGCGGATCTTAGCGCTGTCAATCATGGACGTGTGCACGCTGCTCTCCCACATACGTTTCGGTTTTTCCTTTCCTCCTTGATCTCTGCTTCAATACAGCTTCTCCCATCAGCAATGCCTGTCGTGAATGCTAATGCTTAGCAAGCAATGTTAGACAGCTAATGCTAGCAATGTTAGCTAGCTTTGGCTAGTATGTCAAACAGTCAGCAGATAAGTGGTTTTCCTGGAGCAGTGAGCTGTTTCTTCGCCATTAACACATTTTCACAGCACATTCACGGGGATGACTGATGACACGGGGATCACTAAGACCCTCCTCCTGCCTCTGATTGGTCAGTTTTGACCAAGAGCGGTGCATTTGCAGAAGGCGGATGATCTCAGATTCACAGATTATCTATCCCATATTACACTGTCACAACATGAACAGTTCTGTCTTCATGGTTTTTTATGTTTTTTTTTTGTTTTTTTTTATCAAAGTTACATACTGCAGCATTTAATGTCCCTCGACATGAGTGCTTTGCACTGGATGGTTTTTTGAACAAACAAAAGAAAAAAAACACTGAAACCAGGACCTCACCTCCTTCTGTGCTCTTTGGTGACTTAACTCCTCTGTCTCTTCCATAAGTTTATCTTTAAGAAAACAAACACATTTAAAAAAAATAAATCATTTTCTCTACTCATTCACTGAGCTTGCTCATATTTACCCAGGTATTCTTGTTTCTCCTTGGCCAGCTGCAGCCCCTGAGCCTCCAGGCTCTCGATCATCGCCTCCCCTAGTTGCGAGTTCTTCCATGTGCTGTCCATCAACGGAAAGAAAATGCAAGGAGGAGGAAAAGATTTAAAACCCCTGACATTATTTTATCGATTACTTCGATTCCTGCAGAGGGCCTTTAGATACTCACACTTTCCCTGATTCCTGGAGCATCTCTATCCACTGGACCTGCTCCTCCTCAGACTCAGCAGCCAGGACGATGGTCCCCTGGGGGAGGACGTAATGCATGCAGCATCAGCTTTTTGTCGGTAATGGCATCAAGATTTAAAACATTGGATTTCTGATGGGGTAGTAAAATACTGAAGTCCGGGATCGAAGAGATTTTTTTATTTTTTTATTCTGAAATCAGGTGGAGATTTAGTTGTTTGCTTCAACTCTTAAAAGTTAAAATCACGAGGCGAGACCAGGCCTGTTGCAATGAACCATAAATCAATTTAATGCATGATGAGTTAAAACAAGCTCAATAATTTCCATTTGCATAATTTAACGTCTTTCTCCTTTTTCTTTCCACCGTAAACAGCATGTCAAAAGTCTTCAGTCTGGTGTATTTGGTCTTAACTAGCTGCTTTGTTGAAGAACAATTTTGTTTAGAGGAACTTTATAATTCATTTTATTTGTTAGGAAGAAAATGGCGTTTTACCAGAACAATGAATGATGTCGAAAATGAGGTCAAATCACCTGATATGTTATCAAAAAATAGGCCAAATGACCAATCGTATAATGTCAAAAATGAGGCAAAATGAGACATGATATGAAGTCAGAAATATGATAAAACACTGAAACTATGCCAAATTACACAAAATATGGGATGAGACCGAAGGACACGGAGTATATTATGTCACAAATCAGGTAAAATAACATATTATATAGTATGAAGTCCATAATGTGGTCAAATGACAAATAGTATGACATAAATGGAAAAGGAAACATTACGTTGAAAATGGGGCTGAATCAGATACAGTATATGTGTCGCCAACGATGTCGGAATTTTGTTGAAAATGAGGTAAATTCACACAATGACAAAAATTAGGCCAAATGAGATATAGTATAGTCTCAACATCAAAAATGAGGTAAAATGACAAATAGTATACCATGATGGGTTCAAATGAGACACAGTACGACATCGTACCCCATTTTACCCCGAAAATGGGGTAAAATAAGCCACAGTGTAGTGTGACGTCAAAAATGAGGTAAAATGACAAGTAAATGAATCTTTCTGTCATCTTACTGTAAAACTTTTCTCCTGAGGACATTTGGCTCGTCAATATTGACAGATACGTGTTTCCTTAAAGCTGTTGATTTTGGAAGAAGCACCTGGTCAGCCCATGTTGATGAAAAACTGAAATTATTCCACAAACGTTCTGACATTTGTATTCCAGTCATTTCAAGTTCGTGATTTCACTAATCGTCCTAATCAATTTTCTAGACTTTTATGGTGACAGCTTTGGGCCAGATGGTTTGACAAAGCGGAAGCAACTGGCTCATCTACCAGGATGACAATCAAAAACACAGATTAACAGTTGCTTGGCAATGGGCCAACGCAGGCTTTGGGTTGGCTCTGACCTCAAACCTGGTGAAAATACCAGGAAACCAAACTGGTACAACTGGAACTGTCACAGTTCCAGTTGTAATAGAAACTGATCAAATGGAGCTCCTGCAACTCACAGGAGCATTTATCTATTACATAGAAAACTCAGTCCTACTGTAAAATCTTCAAGGTTGACCACGATGGCAAAAGGCATCCCCATGTCCTCGTTGGACGACACCACGCATCCTCCCAGAGGAATGACTCCCTGGCACAGAAAACAAACCAAGCGTTTTTTAGGAGGACGTGCTCAGAAAGTTGGCGGTGACCGTCGCCAGGCGTTTTGCTCACCTTGGGATGGATATTGAAGTACCTGTTGCTCTCGAAGCTCCTCTTCTCGCTCTCTGCATAGTAGAGCAAGAAGCTGTCTTTGATGATGAAGAATCTTTTGTACCGAGGAGACAATGAAAGCAGCAGTGAGTGAACCCTGAAAAGAACCAACATCTGCCAACGCTCTTGTAGTCGACATCAGCTGCCCTGGCAGGCAGCTCAGCTAGCTTAACTTTCTATGCCAACCTACGTTAGTGGACCGGAACCGCAAAAAGCATAAAACTTTGCTTTCAAGCAACGTTAGACAAAGGAAAAATGGACGGAATTTACTCCTTTATTCTTTTAAATTGAATTTAAAGGAATTTTCCTTTAAATTTCAACTCCATGAATGTTTTCTGAGCATTAGCAAGCACTGCTAAATCAAACTCTTTGAGCTCGTCATCTCATGTGAAAGGAAACGTCATTGCAAGTGAACAGACAAACATCATGAAGCACAGTGGAAGCAGAACAATAGTTTAGGAATGAGAATCTGAACGCCTTAGAATATGAACAAAGCAGTAAAAAGCGTGCACTTTAGAAAAATATCAGATTAATGGTAATTTCTTGAAGCTAGCCAGTATGTGCCGCACCAACACCATAACCTCCGTGAACGACATTTCTACTGCAAAAGTAAATCATCTCCTGTGCAAGTCCAGTTAGACCCTTTAATTGAAACTCCTGCACTTGGCGAGATGATTTTGCTTTGGACTTTGACTAGGCCATTCTAATACATGACTATGCTGGGATTTAAGCCGTTCCGTTACAGATCTGGCTGCATGTTTACACTTGTTGACCCAAACATGTCTAAATGGGACGTCTTATGGCTTCCTTTCAATAAAAGCCTTCTTCAACTTGAGTTGTGTATCCCTGCAGCTTCTCCAGTTACCATGGGAATCATGGCCGCTTCTCTACTTAATGCCATTCTTGCCCAGCTTGTTAATGTCGGTGAACAGCTGGGTCTTTGTATGTTTTCATCTGCACAACACTCTTGGGTTTGGATGATGGACCGGACAGAACTCCTTGAGATATTTACAAAGATCCCATTAGCTACATTTCACCAGCTACTGGTTGATTTTGATTGTCCAGCTGTGTCCAGCTGCTCTGAAAAAGGATTTGACATTTCTCTTATTTTGATTCTTTTTTTTTTTTTTTTTTTTTTTTTTGCCCCTTTTTATTTTTTTTTTTAAGGTTTTTTTTTCCCCCCCCCCTTTATTTTT